GACGGCAGCGGCGACGGCAGCGGCGACGGCAGCGGCGACGGCAGCGGCGACGACTGATCAATCGTCTCCTTTCTCCATTTATGGACCGCGCACGTCATGTGCTCCGACTAGGTGCTCGCGGCCGCGAATCCAACGTGATTGACCATAAACCTTCCATAAGACACGCCACGTGACTTGAAAGTTGCTCGTTAATATTTTTTTCATCTTTATGATTTAATGCGTTTTCCATTTAGCGGTTGTTTAAGCACGTGTTGCGCCTATTTTTATCAACAATGAAAAAAATTAGGAAAATCAGATTATTTTAGAGTATTTAAAAGTAACACAAAATTTGCAGCGATTTAAAAACGTGGATCAAAAATTATTTAATCAAGTCAAGTAGAAAGTGTGTTTTAATTAATAGAAATATATAAGAAAGAATATAATAAGAAAGAAATAGGATAAATAAAAATTTTAATTTTTTTTTATACTCAAGTATTCATGATTTATGTGAAATTTCATTGCAATGCAAAGGTTAATTATTGTGTAAATAAAAATATAATTTTTATTAAAAGAAATAAATTAAATTAAATTTTTATTTAGATTTTTATTTAGAGTAATTAATCTCTGCATAAAATACAAATAATTTTAAAATATTTACATATATACAAAAATTAAGATCTTTATCATTACTTCTTAATTATATTTCCATTAGAGCACTTTTCTACTTATTTAAAAAATTTTTGATCTAAACCGTTAGTAAACTATCTTTAAATATTTACAATATAATTTACAATAATCTATAAGTTTTTCATAATTCTTTCATTGTAAATATAAAAATTATATAATACATATAATACATCTTCAATTTACGTTTTTCAACAGATAAAAATCTAGTTATGGAAGATTAGGACAAGTCAAACGATTAATTTCATCTCTTCTTCGATTATATATAATACTTTTTTCAATATAAAAACAACTCGGTTTAATATAGATATCAATAAATCTCTTATATCCATTTCTATATACAGATTAATTTTAATCTTAGTTTAATCTCCTCTTCATGTCTTTAAGAATAAGAAAAAATAAAGAGTAAATTAAACCGAGATTGAAGTTAATCTATTGATAAAAAAAAAATAAACATTACTAATATTTTTCAAAGAAATAACAAAGTTATGAGAATTATTTTCAACGGAGTTCAAAGCTGCAAAACATAGCGATAAAATAACTTTTCTAAATATATCAAGATGCTTTTATCAATAACATGCTTTTATCAAGATTTTCCATTTTCATTTCAGTCTTTAAGGTAGAGAACAAGTACAAGTACGTACAGATAGATATCTATAAATAACGTGAAAGTCATTCGGAAAGTAGCCGGAAAAAAGCCGCGAGTAAAGGTTAGGTTGACGTCGTCGCGAGTGATCCTAGACTGTCGTCATCGTCGACGGGACCGCTCACCTTGGGATTACCGTTGCCGAGCCACGGTATAACGTTGTCGATGAACATGCCGATGTCCTGGCACTCGATGCTCTTGCCCGAATCGCCAAGGTAATTGAGCAGCGCGCTGCCGACGTTGAGCTTCTTCTTGATATCCGTCGTTGACAGGAGCGGCATGAAGCCGTCCATATCACGCGGATTTAACGCCATAGTTGGGCGAGACGCAGGCCGTCGTCGTCGTCCTCGTCGTCGTCGTCGTCGTCGTCGTCGTGACCGCGCACGTCGTCCCCGACGTCCTTGCCGCCTTCGGAAGACGATCTCCACCCGCGGGTCCTCCGATCGCGCAAACGGGCAAGGACGATACGCGGAGAAGTGGTTCACTCGCGCACGTCAACACACATTACTTCGCCGCGAAAACGGGGATCTCGCGTCCTTCGTACATCGCCAGC